CCTCCTGATCAACGGTTAGGTTTGGGACCCGCCGTGATTTCTGTCCATCAGATCTGAGGTTAGATGGTCATAATGTTACGGCTGATCCCTTCCCTGCAATCTGCTTCTGGACTCTTCAGGTTTTGTGTTTCTGACGAGAACAGAACACACAGCGACAGACGTCTCCTCAGCACGTTTCTAACAGATCACGGATCAAACTCTCTGGGCCCGCTGGGTCCAAGGTTCTGGTTCTGGTTCTTCAACCACAGCTAGAAAAAGTTATGCAAATATCAGAAAATTACTGAAAAGAACAAACGATCTGGAGCATTTCCCATTCTGATGACAGAAACATGTCTTCAAAAGACAAAGCCAGGTTAGAAAGCTGCTCCCATTAGGCTCCGACTGGATCAGCGGTTCATCTTCGGCATCAAACATCCCGACTCAGAGGTCTCATGTCCACACCAGACCCAGACAAACTCATTCATGTGTTCATCTACAGCAGGCTGGACTATTGCAGCTTGTTCAGAATGCTGCTGCTAGAGTCGTCACAAGAACCCGGAGAACCGAACACATCGTAGATCTGAGCAAGCATGCAGCGACAGTGGAGAGGAAAACTCCAGACGATCCGTGTAAGCAGCCATCCACCACCAAGGCCGGTTGTTCAGTGGACATGGGTCCAGGGGCCCATGCCCACTAGGGACCCATGTGTGAGCAGCCCTAACCAAGCAAGGGGAATAAAAGAGGTCTAACAGAAAACCATCACACACACACACACACACACACACACACACACACACACACACACACACACACACACACACACACACACACACACACACACACACACACACACACACACACACACACACACACACACACACACACACACACACACACACACACACACACACACACACACACACACACACACACACACACACACACACACACAGGCTGTGATTTGAGATTCGGTTTCTAAACAAAACCAACTTTGTTTTTAAATCTGGATTTTCGGTTATTTTGAGGATTTTCTGAGTAAACGTCGTCGGCTCGTGGGTTCGGGTTTTCTCTGTTCAGACAAAAGGAAATGGTTCCTGCACCCTGAGAACTTCCTGTTTTGCCTTTACTGATAAAACTGCAGCATCATCTTTGACCTGGACTTGATCTGCTGATGTGCTGCTTCAAGTCTCAAGTTTTATTTCTCCTTCGCCCCGAGAACCGGACCAGAACCAAAACCAGCCTCCCACCATCTGCTGCCCGGAGTCGCAGCCAGCTCCTGCTGGAAGGAGACGGCCGGCAGCCTGACCGTGTTTACCTACCTTCATGTCACCTTGCTGTGGCCTGACGACGGCGCCGCCGGCAGCCATAGCTTCGTTTGCAGCAGAAGGAACAGCTAGAGGACGAGCTTGTTTACCGAGCTCTGCAATAAAAATAAGTTTTTATGTTCAGCTTCCACTAACGCCCAGCAGCCTCCTCGGACTACTTTCACTGCCGAGCACAGCGTGACCTTTAGACAGAAAGGAACAGAATAACAGACTTGGACCTGAAGTGGCTCCCAAAAGGACAGACCTGAGGACAGCCGCCGCCGTGTGACCTACAGAGTCATACCCAGCCCCACGCAGGAAACACTCGGTCCTCCTTGTCACACATTCCTCCCTGAAGTTCACTCTGAAGTGCATCACGTGTCTCAGCTCTTAATGGAGACAAGTCACCAGTTGTTCAGACCCACGAAGAAAAGGTGCTGAAATAATGCAGCTTCCTGCCTCTTAGACACGTTCTGAATCGTTCCTTCACTGACCAGCGTCGCGTTTAGCAGCCATCAGAGGGGTCTCAGTTCAGAGAATCAGGAGATGAGGGACAACTTTAGGAGGGGCTGGAGAATGAATTAATGATAAAACGAGACAGACGTATCTGAAACTGGTCCAGCTTGTGGGGACAGCAGCAGCCCTGGGCTGCCAGGACTAACCCAAACCCCGTTTAACCTCAAATGAACCTCGACTCTCCACTGAGACGCTCCGACTTAGCCTGGCCTGCCGAACTGGCAGGAGTCTGGTTCCCCACAGGTGGAGAGGCTCATGAGGGGCGGGACTAGCCAGCTCAAACGTAACCAATCAGAAAAAAGGCAGAAACGCCGACTGCACTGCTGTGGTTTTTTTAGCTGTAGTCAAAAATGGCGTCTGGCGACGGTGCTAACATCTCTGCTCAGAAGAAAAGCTTTTAGCTTCTACTTGTGGTGTTGAAGACGTGTCCAAGTCATTTAGAACAGAGGAACGAGCCGCAGCCAACTCCGCTTCAGACGCCGTCTTCGTTATTTATTACAAGCTCGGCGTTCCGGTGTGTGCATGACGTACGCTGCTCAGCGCCGATTGGCTCGGTTAGCATCATCGGGGCGGGGTTATCTGAATAGAAGAGTTCCCAGATCCCGGCTTCCCTTAAAGCCCGGATCTGGTCAGGCTAGCTCTGACTCGGTCTGCTGAAGGTAAAACCCATCAGCACCCTTCACCTCGAGGACGTCTGCGTGTGACGAAGGACAGGTGTGCAATGATCCAGGTGAGACTGGACCGAGCTGCATGCAGGTTTTGAAGGCGTGAGCAAAAATCCTCGTTCCTGAGGAAGCGTTAAAGGCGGAGTACGTAGTTTAAAAACATGAAACTAAAAACACTTAAATGGGACCTGCTCCATGACGTGAACTAGGTTATCTTTCAGAATTTAGATTTCCCCTAAGCCCCTCCCCCCAGAGCTCAACAAACCGTTACTCGACCTACCGCGTTGACCTGAGAGTTATCTATTCCCATAAAGGAGCTGTCATTTGACGAGAAAGCATCCCAGTTCCCAGCATGCACCACTGAGTCACGCAGCGTAGCACACCAACCTAGCTTGCATGCTAATTAAACCAGCATTGAATTATGGGTACGAGGGAAAATTTGGAACGCAAAGTGGCTTCAAACATTTCTTCATGCCTCCTAAAGTTCTAACGCAGTAGAGCTATGAGTACATTGTGGAGATGCGTTCGTCTACGAACCTCCACCGATAACATGCTTCGGTCTCACCGAACCGTTGGCAGCACTTCCCTGGTCCTCCACTCATCACACACTCAGGTGTCCAGCAGCAGAACACCACCGGTGTGAGAGGTTCTCTGCTCAATAACACCAGAGAAGGAGAAACAGCCGGCTGCTACCACTTCAGCTTCAGGACAAACTACCAGAGTCAGAAGATGTTTGGACCTAGAAAACGGCGACAGGTGTTTAGAACCATCTCGTCTCCTCTGGTAGTGAGGGTTTCCGGTTCTGGTGGATGAGGATTCAGGGAAGAAGAAGGTGAGAAGGGGTGAGTGTTCCATGACCTTGTCTCTGTTCAAAACCTAGCTTGTTTGCGGATGGCCCGTCAGAAGCCTCTCCTCCTCAGCATGACATATGAAAACCCTCATGGAGTCTGCTAAAAGACACCTGAAGGACTGCTCATCACTTGTCCAATACAGTCTCCACAGTGAAGCATGGCGGTGGCAGCATCATGCTGTGGGTAGGTTTTCAACTGCAGGGACAGGACGACTGGTTCTAACCGAGGGAACAATGAATGTGGACAAGTACAGGGATATCCTGGACAAGAACCTTCTCCAGAGTGCTAGGGACCTCAGACTGGCCCGAAGGTTTACCTTCCAACATGACAACGACCCGAAGCACACAGCTAAAATAACGGAGGA